CTGGATAGAAAGGAGGGAGAAGGTTAGAATAATATTTCTAGGTTTCATGGCTTGCTCTGGGGAAAGGAAGTTTTAGTTGTTATTTTTCTAATTTTAAATTTTAAAAATTTTTATTTATTAGTATTATACTTTGAGTTCTGGGGTACATGTGCAGATCTTGCAGGATTGTTACATAGGTATACAGATGCTGTGGTGGTTGGCTGCCTCCATCCCTCCGTCACCTATATTAATTTCTCCTGATGTTCTAGTGTTTTATGATCCACCATGGGAAAGAGTAATTCTGGTTTCTGACTAACTTTGGGGAAGAAAGAGGGAAAAGAGACAGGAGGAAAGGAGAAGATCAGAAAGACCTTGGTTCTGAGGCTGCTTCTGAAGCCTTCCAATGTCCTTTAGTTCAAAGACTCGGCATGCCAAAATGCCTTACTTTGTGGTGTCATTTTCTGAGCCCCAACAGAGACATCAGTATGAACTCATATTTAGCTCAATATAATGAATAAATTTAGAAATAAATATGGTTTTCTGTGTATACAGGGTACATAAATATATATTTAGTTCTTTTGATGAAAGAGCCTAGAAGAAGTGAAATAGCAGTAACAGCAAGCACATCTGTGTCCAGATCCTGGCTTGTAAATACCATTCTCTATCAAAATAAAGAAGGCTCTTTGTAGAAGTAGTTGACTCTGTGACAGTGGCAGGAAAAATACAATATGAGCTTAGAGCATCATGTAATGCCCTAAAGTAAGAACATACTCTAAATAAAATAAAAACACAAAGGATGAACGATGTCAAAGGAATGTATGGGCCTTCTGAAAGAGTTTCAAAGGATAAAAGCGGAAACACTTAGACCAAAAAAATGAAAGCAAAAACCTAGTATTGCTTTATAATTCCAAGTATAAAGTAAACAAATGAGAACACACTAATATAAATGATGATTGTAAATAAATAAATGAGAAAGGAGACAAATCTTGCTTACAGAAAAACTCCAAATAAGTTGTTTAAACACTGACCTCAGCAGGAGTTGGAGCTTAGTTCCCAAACACCAGCAGTGTGAACTGGAATTAATGATTTGTTTCAAAGATTAGAACATAGAAGGGGGAACAAAAAGTAACTCTATGTGAGAGAAATTAAGCCGACTTTGCCTAGGATTTGTGATCATGTTAACTTCATCTCTGATAAGTCATGTTGATAGCATGTATCCTTGATATGAGGTGCTAGAAGAGAAATTTATCACTGATGTTACTTGAAAAACAGTATAGCCCCTGTAAAATAATGAGAAAACCTCAGAAAAACATAATTTTCACTTCAGTTGTTCTAAGAAATGTCTCCTCAGCACTCCTTCAAAACACAGGGAAAGATGGACAATCTGTCATAACCAGAAGAGACTAAGGAAACCTGAAAACTAAATGCAAAAAGAGGAAAAGCATGGACAAACAAATGAGATTGGAATAAAGTCTGAAGTTTAGAAAGTAAGGCTGGGTATGGTAGCTCATGCCTGTAATCCCAGCATGTTAGGAGGCTGAGGTGGGAGGATCACCTGAGGTAGGAGTTCAAGACCAACCTGACCAACATGGAGAAACCCCATCTCTAATAAAAATAGAAAATTAGCCAAGTGTGATGGTGCATGCCAGTAATCCCAGCTACACAGGAGGCTGAGGCAGGAGAATCACTTGAACCCAGGAGGTGGAAGTGTGGTGAGCAAAGATAGCACCATTGCCCTCCAACCTGGGCAACAAGAGCAAAACTCCATCTGAAAAAAAAAAAATAAAAAAATAAAAAAGTAATAGTGTGTCAATCTTTTTTTTTTTGTAGTGTTGACAAATGTAAAATCATAATATAAGATTATGACATAGCAGAAATCAGGTAAGTGTTTGTATTATATTTGTATAGCTGCTGTGACAAAACATCACATACCAGGAAACTTAAAACAACAGATGTTTATTCTTTCATAGTTTGGAAGCCAGAAGTCCTAAATCAGCGGCACTGGACTGAAATCAACACATTAGCAAGGCTTGCTTTCTTCATAAACTGTGAGAATTTATTTTTTGCCTCTTTCATTTTATGGTGGCTGCAGGTATTCCATGGCTTGGGACCACATCACTTTAGTCTCTGCCTCCATGCTCACCTTGCGGACTCCTCTGTTGTCTGTCATCACATCTCTCTGTCTTCTTCTGATAGTGACATATATGAGCCTTTGGGGTTCGCACAGATAATCTACAATACTATCGCAGGCTTCATCACCTCTATATAGTCCTTTTAGGCAATATAAGGTAACATTAAAAGTTTCCAGGAATTAGGAAATATAAAGATTGTGGATCATAATAGCATATTGAATTTATGTTATGTTTGCTACTGAAAGATATTGTCATGTTTATATTCTACATAGATGTTTAGAATCATTTCAGTTAATTCTATAATTTATGTGTATAAAGTAATTTTCAAATATAATTAAATATTAAACCTTAGGTAATTTCACTTTTAATGTATTTTTATGATTTGCTAAGTAGTATTTATTTGATGTATTATTTTCTACTTCATGAGACATCACAGCTAAGTAAAAATTATGAGATGGCTTCAAATGAGTTACTTGATGACAGAATTTTCAGGAAATGATTCTGTCCAAAAGTGGGAGAAAAAGTGCTTAGAATAGAGACAAAAAATGTTTCAGCAAAGAAATTATCTGTCTTTTGAAATGAACTATACATCTATCTAGAAGGCTTATATTAAAGATAGTTTACTATAATCATGAATGGTTCAAAGTTTCAACATATTGATACAATTAGAATCAAAACTTAATTATTTTATCCATTCATTTAACAAATACTTATTGAGAATCTCCTATGAAACACACTCATATAGGTACCAAAGATCTTATTTTAAAAAACAAAAAACTCACCGCTTTACTGAAGTGTGCATTCTAGTTGGAGAGGAGGATATATAATAAACAAGTGAATAAATATACAAGAGTGTGAACAAGAACGAGGAAGAATAACACGAGATGAGGGAGCAGTGTACAGGGGGTGGGGAGAGTGATTATTTTATAAAGGTGGTGAAGGAAGGACTCTATGACTGGGTCACATTTTTAAAAAGACCTAAATGGAGTGAGGAAATACACATGGAAAACAGCAAGAACACAGGCCCTGAGTTTGGAGCATGCTTGGAGCTGTGAAAAACATCAAGGAGAGCAGTCTGAACAAAATGGAGTAAATACAGGTGAAGTAGCAAAAGGTGATGTATGTCATCTGAAATAATGAAGGAGCAGATTTAACCATTTCATAGCATTTGCAGAAAGAAAAGTGTACGTGTTTTGTTTCTCAGTATACTTTTAAACTGTAAAAGTTGGTAGTAATATACAAGGAAAGTCAAAAATGCATTTAATTTTACTCAATTTTTCTGGTACTCTGTAGGGTCTAGCCCTGCCGGGTCCTGTAAGCCCCTCTCTATTGGTGTGGAGATGAGAAACTGTGGAAATGAAGACAAAAGACACAGAGATGGAGAGAAAGAGAGTTTGGACCCAGGGGTCCACTGCCAACCAAAGTGCAGAGTCTGGCAGTGACACCAAGTGCCTGCACGCTCTGACTTTTATTGAGTACAAAGCAGGGGACAGGGTAGGTAGGGTGAAGTAATGGTGGTCAGTGATCAGGTCAGGTAAATCACGTGTCTTGGACATAGGGGCCCAGGTCTTTCAAGTAGCCAAAATAAGTTAAGGAGCATAACGCATCAGCACTTTTTCCATACTTGTAAAGAAAGAACAAAGATTAAGATTTGCGTTACTTTTACTGATTATGTCTTCTAAGAAAAAGAGGAACCAGGTGCAGAAGCAGAACATGAAAGTGGACATGGAAGGTGACCACGAAGCACAGCATCACATAGAGACAATTAAGCCCCCGATGTCTGTGGGTGTCCCTGACAGCTGTCAGGCCTACCACAAGAGCCTGGGGAAGCAGAGTTTTCTCCTAACTCCTCCGGGGAAGGAGACATGGTGGATGTATCCTTCCACAGCTGGTTAAACAGTGGGCACTTTTCCAGCATTGCTGCACAGCCAAGTCGCCCTCCAGCAGCCCTTACACGGGCATGACAGAGGGCTTGAAGTATCTTGCCTTAGGGTCACTTCTTTCACAATGTCACCTTAGGTTCACACTTTGCAACCCGAGAAGCATTAGTAACATTAAAAGATTATAATGAGTGTATATATATTTAAGTATCCATACCTATGATTATTTATGTGATTATATTTCTAATTTCATCATTTATATGGAAACAGGCTGAGGCTTCAGAACCTTGCCTCCACACTTGCGGGGTGGCCCACCCACAGTACTCTAGTTATTTTATCCTTTTAAAATTTAAAACATGAACATGTTGCTTCTATAAAATTACTCAGTAATGACACAAGTATTAATTCATATAAAATGCTATATTTACATATTCTGGATAAAATGTGCCAAGGATGCCGGGCACGGTGGCTCTCGCCTTTAATCCCAGCACTTTGTGAGGCTGAGGCGAGCGGATCACGAGGTCAAGAGACTGGCCAACATGGTGAAATGCTGTTTCGATTAAAAACACAAAAATTTAGCTGGGCATGGTGGCACGCACCTGTAGTCCTAGCTACTCGGGAGGCTGAGGCAGAAGAATCGCTTGAACCCAGGAGGCAGAGGTTGCAGTGAGCTGAGATTGCACCACTGCACTCCAGCCTAGTGACAGAGCAAGATACTGTCTCAAAAACAAACAACAAAAAAAAGCAAAAACAAAACAAATGTGCTAAGGAAAAGCATATACTTTCATTTAACAATATATGTTTTTTAAATAAAATTAGGACTCCTGGAACAGTATTCAGCTAAGTAAATTTGAAAGCATTAGGCTTAACTTTATATTCTGCTACCCAAATTAAATATTTAAATTACTTTCATTAAATATTCATGTATACACACAGTTCTACAGAGAAACAGAACCAATAAAAAATATATATATAAATAAAAGGACATTATCCTGGGAACTGGCATGTGAATATGGAGGCTGAGAAGTCTCACAACTGCAAACTGGAGAACCAGGAAAGCCAGTAGAGTAACTCAGAGTTTGAAGGCCTGAGAAAGGTCAGGACACAGTTGTGGAACTGGTATAAGGCCTGGAGGCCAAAGGCCCGAGAACCAGGAACTCAAATGTCTAAGAGCAAGAGAAGATGACTGTCCCAGCTCGAGAAGAGAGAAAATTCATCCTTCCTTCACCTTTTTGTTCTTTTCAGGAGAGCCCTCAATAGATTGAATGATGGCCACCCACATTGGTGAGGGCAGATCTTCCTTACTCAGTCTCCTGATTCAAATATTAATCTCTTCTGGAAACACCTTCACAGATACATTCAGAATAATGTTTAAGCAGCTATCTGGGCATCCCTTAATCCAGCCAAACTGACACATAAAATTGACCATCAGAACTTGCCACATTACATTTAATCCAGATGCATTTTCCACACACAGGGAAAATTTCCCATTTCATGTGAAACTTCCATGTACTTCTATTAATGGACTGTTTTTGCTCTGGTTTTATGTATATTTGCATTGACATGTGGTAGGAAAAAAAAATGCATGTAGAACGAATGAATGTATTAATATCTTTAAGGTTTTTGGCAAGGAAGCCCCGAGATGTCTCAGCCATTCTCGTTCAGGTGTTATGTTTCTGGACATAATGTTTCTTTTTATCTAGACAATAGAGTTTTAAACAGGCATGGTCATCACATCAGGAATTTAACATTATTGTGGACCTTAAATGTGATTCAGAACATGGAGAAGATCCGAGAGAAATAGGTCGTGGTGAATACTACAATGTTAAACTCACAATCCTAGAGACAATTTTGCCTTCTCAACAACTTTCTTGAATGCGCTCTTCACTTCCTTGTTCCTCAGGCTATAGACCAGGGGGTTCAGCATGGGGATGACCATCGTATAGAACACAGATGCCATTTTGTCTGTGTCCATGGAGTGACTGGAGCTGGGCTGTAAGTACATGAAGATAATAGTCCCATAGAAGATGGTGACTGCAATGAAGTGAGAGGCACAGGTGGACAAAGCCTTCTGGTATCCTGAAGCTGAGTGCATCCTTAGGATGGTGATAAAAATGAATATGTAGGATATCAAGATAACCAGGAGAGCAAAAAAGATGTTGAAGCTCACAACATAAACAAGAACAAGCTCGCTAACACGTCTATCAGAGCAAGCGAGAACCATGACTGCTGGAATATCACAGAAAAAGTGATGGACTTCATTGGACTTACAGAAAGAGAGACTAAATGTGTCCCCAGTGTGGATGGAGGCATTGAGGAAACCACAGAGGTAGGAGCCTATGGTCAGATAAACACACACACTTGTTGTCATGGTGGTGGTGTAATGTAGGGGTTTGCACACTGCTGCATAGCGGTCATAGGCCATTGAGGCCAAAAGGTAATTTTCCACAGTGGCGAAAGCTACAAAAATGTACATTTGAGCAGCACATGCATTGTAGGAGATGACCTTATCTTCTATAAGGAATCCAGCCATGACCATTGGAGTGACAGCTGAAAAGTAGCAAAAGTCCACTAGAGACAAGTTACTGAGAAAAAAATACATGGGATTGTGGAGACAGGAATCCCAGAATATCAATACAATAATTCCCAGGTTTCCAACCAGAGTGATAATATAGATGAAGAGGAACATTATAAAGAGGGGAACTTGCAGTTCTGAGTCATTTGTTAGTCCTAGAAGGATGAATTGTGTTACTTCTGTCTTATTTTCCATCATTGTTCTGGGTACTCATAGGATGCTTGTAGCAATACAAAAAGGAACAGTGTGATTAAATAATTGAATTAAAATTGAAAAGTATCAGTACAATATGTATTCCTTCGTTGTAGCAATAACTTGTACTTGATTTCTAAGATTTCCTAGAAAAAGCATGGCCTTGACAACCAAATTTAGCGCATTAATTATATAGAGTTACATACTGTTGAATCTGAAGAATCTTAATAGATTATCTACACAACTTTCAAATTTTATAAATTTGTAAACTCATATGAAGAAAATTTACTAACGTGATCAAGATGACTTGTCCGGATGCATCTATCTGTCAATTCAGTTTTCCTGAGCACAGGAAAAGCTGACACATGTTACTAATTTGCCAAGAACTTCTCTAGACATTTTAGATATACATTCATTTTTTCCTTGCAACAATATTGTAAATTTGATTAGTTGTTGCATTCATTTAAATTATGAAGCACAGAAGATGGAATAATGTATTCATATTTACACACGTATTAAATGGCAAGACGTGCTTTGGACCCATGCCAACCTTTGAACCCATGCTGAGTGTTTCCTAAGTCTAATGGTCTAAACTGAATTTAAATCAAATTGAATACAACCCAATTTACAATCACTCATTGTCTTCTTTGGTGCAAACTCAGTGTTTTAGATTTCACAATGAAGTAAGTGAATAATATATGCATAGTAAATGTGGTGCGATAACTGGGGTGTTAGGGGCGTGTTCAACTAGCAGAAACAATTTTGAGAGAAGCCTATCATCAGATACAGAGCTTGAGTTCTTGGAAAAAATGCTTATCAGTCCACCACTTACCACCTGGGAATCATTGGTTCTAATCTAACTCCCTTAAACATCACATTTTCTTCTGTAAAACTAGAACAGTAATGAGACCTACTTTGAGGTATTATTGTGAGAATTAAATAAGATAATGCATTAAAAATGCTAATGTTAAGCATGGCCTAATGAGTGCTAGTTATAATATTAAATATTATTATTAGGATGGTTGATAATCTTTTTGTTGGTTTAGTAAAGGTGGATGGTGACAAGCAGGGCTTTGAGCATGGGTGAGTTTTGAAATCTTGAAACTCCTGTCTCCAGTTTTCTTTTCCTCCATACTAGGACCACTGAGATTTTCTGTGTTCTTCAGTGATTCTCAGTTTGTTCCTCCTCCAAGCAAATGATTGCCTGCTCCGGAAAATTCATGGGAGTCATTCTTTTTTCTTAATTTCTCCCTTGAAATCCACATTTTAGTGTGGGTAAAAAAGTCCCTTTTTCCTAAAATCATTCTTTCTCTTATTTGTGTTATTCCATAGTCAAATCAAAGATTAAGGGTTAAAATTTCCTACATTTTGTGGTATCTTTATTTAGCTCACAGATCTGATTTGGTGGCAAATTCCATGTGATAAAATATTTTATTTGAATTTATTCTTGTTTAGAAACAATATTTTACTATGTATTTATTTTAATGTTTTTAAATTTCAAAGTTCATTTTAGATACAAGAGTTACATGTGCAGATTTGTTACATGGAAACATTGTGAGATGCTGAGGTTTGGAGTAGGGATTCTGTCCCCCGCTAGTGAGCATACTATCTGATAGGTAGTTTTTAACCCCACCTTCCCTTTCTCCACCCTCTAGTAGTCTGCAGGGTCTGTTGTTATCATATTCATGTCCATGTGTTTTCATCATTTAGCTCTCACTTGTTAGTGAGAATGTTCAGTATTTGGTTTTCTGTTCTTGTGTTACTTTGCTTAGGATTATGGCCTCCAGACTCATCCATGTTGCTGCAAAGGACGTGATTTCTTTTTTATGGCTATGTAGTATTTCACAGTGTACAGATTTCTTAAAGAACTTAAAAAAAGCTACTATTTGACCCAGTATATACCCAAAAATAAATAAGTCATTTTACTACAAAGACAAAGACATGATCAACCTAAACGTCCATCAATGATAGATAGGATAAAGAAAATATGGTACATATATACCACAGGATACTATGCAGCCATAAAAAGGTATGAGATCATCTCCTTTGCAGGGACATTGACAGATCTGGAAGCCATTATTCTCAGTAAACTAATGCAGAAACAGAAAATCAGATACTGCATGCTCTCACTTTTAAGTGGGAACTGAATGATGAAAACACATGGACACCTGGTGGAGAAAAACACAGTGGGGCCTGTCAGACAGTGGCAGGTAGGAGGAGCAAGAGCATCAGGAAAAAAAGCTAATGTCTGCTGGGCGATGGGATGATCTGCACAGCTAATCACCATGGCACATGTTTAACTATGTAACAAACCTGCACATCCTGCACATGTACCCCTGAACTTAAAAGTTGGAAATTTTTTTAAAAAGCCACATTTATCTGTACAATTATCAGCATACTATTCACAACAGCAAAGGCATAGAATCAGCCCTGGTGCCCATCAATGGTAGATTGGATAAAGAAGATGTGGTACATATACACCATGGAATACTACACAGCCATGATAAATGAATGAAATCAGAAACAATACTTTTAAATCTTTGTACCTGGATTAAGGTCTTTAGAAGGGTATCCAACCAATACTAACTACTGTATCCTACTGTCTTTCTCTTAAACACTTCACAAGTTCACTTTCCAAGCCTGACTTATGAAGATGTTATGTTGCTAACTTTAACATACATGACTGCTTTTAGCACACACTATGTTCTACAACCAATAATAAAAACTTTATATATAAATTGTGTGTATGTGTGTGTGTGTGTGAGAGAGATAGAGAGAGAGTTAGGTATTATTATTATTATTATGTTATTACTTTATCATTAAGAACATTGAGAATTTGAGAAGTGATGTGATGCTTCAAAATTCTATGGCTAATTTGAGAGTCAAGATTCAAGAGTTAAATAAATCCATCTTCAATCTAAAAGTCAAACCTTCAATTCAAAAGTCAAACCTTTCAGCCGCACATCACTGTCAACATATGTAGATGTGCTAATAGTAATAAGAACGAGATTATTTAAAAAGTTAAAACACAGGTCATAGCTTGTTGATTCATTTAACACCCTTTTGTAGTTTAAAGAATAAACATTTCACTCATTTTTATTTGTTTGTTTTTGTCTTTGTACAGCTAATGAGAAGCCAATATATAACAAACTGATAAAATTACCACCTAGTCAATCAGAACATCATCTATCTTATTTTTTGGTTCATATCTTTGGAGAAAGAAGCATATTTCATAAGCATCACTAAATTTCCTATAATAGAACATTTATGCCCTACACTCACCTCAGTATTTTAGAAAAAATTTTGAAAACATCTATTTCTGCTCTCAAATAACTTATAGTAGGTATAGCTCCCCCAATGCTTTTGCATGAGTTACACTTCTCTCTAAAATGTTTCTTAGATATAGAAGCTTACCATACAGCTGGATGAGCAGAAACAGTCAATACAGAATAGTTGATCTGTAATCAGAAAATCAGCCTTGGAATATTGCATAAATATGTTTAGAGAAGCTTGCTTTCAGATAGTGGTCAACAGGTTTCAAGGTCTCTTAGGCATGGGAAAATAAAGGGAAGAATATTAATATGGAACAAGTCCTGAATCTACTTTTAATTCTTTCTGTGCACTTAAAGGAGTTACTTATCTTCTCCTTTCCTGAGAAAATAAACATATTAATGCTACCTCTCTTACATAATTCACAGAATTGCATCTGTAAATAACAAATAAGGGAGCCCTGTGAAACATCTTGTTAAGGGGTCATCATGTGAAAGTCAGTCAATGTAATTTTTAAATTGGGATGTTTTCCCTGAGCATGGTCAGAAGGCATGCATGAACTAAAAGCAATTATCGTTTAGATGAATACATGATGATCCGCGGAGCTCTGTACACAGTGAGTTCTATCTAAAACTACATTAAGTTGAGTCATGTTGGGATTTCAGATGCTAATATATGGAGATATAAATATAATTATAGGGGCATGGAGATCTCTGGAGATGTACCCTGTGAGAGGATCTACAACTCCTCATTCTACTTTCCTGGTGAAGAACCAATTAAACTGCCTGTGGGGATCAAGCTGATTATTTTTAATATGCACACATAATTTGTTATTTCTTTTTTCCATTCTCTAATTAATGCATAATTCATATAAAGTAATGCCCAGTATTAATACACACTTTATTGTATAGTTCTAAGAATTTTGTCAAATATATGGTTACATAATGACTACAACAGTCACATAAAAAAATTATCTGAACCTACTTTTTGGTAACCTCTATTCCCACCCACTACCCTGGCAACAAGTAAATTATTTTTGTCTAAATAATTTTGCCTTTGCTAGAATATCTTTAAATATAACCTTATGTCTTTAAATATCATCCCGGAATATGTAGTCTTTGAGTCTGGCATTTTTCACTTTCACTTAGCAATTAAGATTCACGCATATTGTTGTCTATGTCAGAGTTAAATCCTTTTTATTGTAGAATATTGCATTATGTGGATACTATAGATTGTATTTCTCATTGTGCAACTGAGAAACATTTATATTCATTTTGAAGTTTGGTGATTAGAAATAAAGCTGATCTAAACTTTTCATTAAAGATTTCTGGGTCGGGCATGCTAACTCATGCCTGTAATCCTAGCACTTTGAGAGGCCAAGGTGGGTGGATCACTTGAGGTCAGGAGTTTGAGACCAGTCTGGCCAACACAGTGAAGCCCTGTATCTACTAAAAATACAAAAATTAGCCAAGCATGGTAGCAGGCACCTGTAATCCCAGTTAGTAAGGAGGTTGAGGCAGAAAAATCACTTTAACCTGGGAGGCGGGGGCTGCAGTGAGCTGAGATCGCACCACTGCACTGCAGCCTAGGTGACAGAGTGAGACTCTGTCTCAAAAAAAAAAAAGAAAAGACTTCTGAGGTGAACATAAATTTTCATTTCATTTGAATAAATATTGACAAGTCAGATTGAATTGTCATATGGTGAGCACAGGTTTATCTGAATAAGAAACTGCCAACATCTTTTCTGAAGATACTCTACTATTTTGAATACCCACTAGCAGTCGATTAAAATTGTTTCACTTCTGTATCAGCATTTTATATTTTAATGGTTTTTTAAAATTAATTTTTATTTTACTTTCATTTTTTATTTTTCTCTAAGACATCTTGAGAAATCTCCTTAGAAATCTTCTTAACACTTATGTACTTTATCACCACAATTCTGGCCTAGGAATGCTTTTCTTTTCCAACAAAGGAGACATATTCATCCTTTTGCACAGATTAATCACTTTGCACTGTTGCTTTTGAGCCCACACCACACCCCCAAACAGACTTATCACATCTGCCTTAGCACAAGCAAGTATCATAAACATTTGTTCTGTGCACCAAGGTTGCTTCACTTCAAATTTGAGTAAGAAATGCACCCTTTTCAAACTTCTTCTGTAAGGAAGAAGAAAATACTATCTTGTCATTCTCATAAAAATTTCAAGAAGATATTCACATGACATATTTATAGAGCACAGCACACTTTCTACCACATAGCAGATGTCCCATGGGATAAATATTAATATTTATTATTTAAAAAGATGAGGAGGTGGGGCAGCGGGGAGAGATAGCATGGGAAGAAATGCCAGATATTGGTGAAGGAGAGGAAGGCAGCAAATCACACTGCCATGTGTGTACCTATGCAACAATCTTGCATGTTCTTCACATGTACCCCAAAACCTAAAATGCAATTAAAAAAAGTCCATAGATGGGTCACAAAAATAGTAGTACACGAAAAATCCACTTGCTTTTCTATATGTGTGTGCCCCATTCCAGCAAGGCAGGACATGTAATAGTTATAGATAATGAACTATAAAAAGAATTGTAATGTTGGTTGAAGCATACACCCTATTCTCCAGTTATTTCGTCTCCTGCTATGATAATCAAAAGGCTTAATGTTCCAGCAGGTGCAGCAACAGATGGTGATACCTTCATCAGCTGGTGTCTTTGAGTGACCACATACAGCTTTTCATTTAGCCAGACAACCTGCCTGATAGACATGTAGTAGCATAAGTGAGAAACAAATCTGTAGGATGCTAAATAACAATCTTCCGAAATATCAGATTCTAATACCTGGAATCTGTAAACTTTATATGACAATGGCTTTGCAGTTACGATCAAATTAAGGATAGTGAGATGGAGATTAATCTGAATTATTTGGTGGGTTCTAAATCCAGTTACCAGTTCCTTGTAAGACAGGGGCAGGAAAAATGATAGATTAGAATATTTTAAGGGCCTGTTACTCCACAGAAACACTAAAAAGGCAAGCAAAAACTGGCACAATCAACTTGGTTTGAACTCTGGAAAATAGTCAAGGATCTACAGAAACAAAGTGAATGATGAATAAAGAAAAAGGTGACTTCACATCACATTTTTAGAAAGTATCTGTCAAACTGCTATGTGACCACAAGTAAAGAAACAGAGACATCAGAGGCCACATATGACAATAAATACATTCTTTAAAATATTTTAATAAAACTTACTTAATAAACAACTGCACCTAGAGCAAGCAACCACAAATGAAACAGGGGGTGTGAGGGGGAGATAATTTGACTTCCAGAATTACCATATTATAATTTTTTAAATGTCAAACTTTCAACCAAAAATAAGACATATATGAAGGATCAAGAAACAATGTCCAATTTACAAGAAAACAAAAATTAACAGAAATTGTCCTGTGGAAGCACAAATGTTATACCTAGAAGACAAAAATCTTAAATCAGTTGCCTTAAATGGGTTCAAAAATATTTTGAAAAAACCTGACAAGGAACAAAAGAAAACTAGGACAATGGTGTTTTAATATATAGTAAATATCAATTAAAATACAACTGACTAAAATAAACCAGATTGAATTTCTGGAACTGAAAAGTACAATGAGTGAAATAAAAAATTCACCAGAGAGTTCTAACAATTATTTGACGAGGGAAGAAAAAAATCAGTGAACTCCTTCCCTCCATCCCTCCCTTCCTCTCTCCCTCCCTCCCTGCCTCCCTCCTTCTCTCCCTCCCTCCTTTCCTCCCTTCCTTCCTTTCTTCCTTCCTTCCTTCCTTCCTTCATTCTTTTTTTTTTGAGACAAAGTCTTATGCTGTCACCCAGGCTGTAGTACAGTGGTATGATCATGGCTCACTACAGTCTCCACCTCTTGGCTCTAAGTGATCCTCCTGCCTCAGCCTCCCAAGTAGCTGGGGACCCAGGCATGCACGAACACACCTGGCTACATTTTCTTCTTCTTTTTTTTTTTTTTGAGTCAAGTTTTTGTCATGTTGCCCAGGCTGGTTTTGTATTACTGCACTCAAGTGATCCATCTGCCTCAACAACCCAATGTGCTGGTATTGTAGAAATGAGCCACCATGTCTGGCCAAATCAGTAAATTTCTAGACATGTCAATTAACGTAATCTGGTCTGAGGAGAAGAAAGAAAAATAGAATGAAGACAAAATGAAACGAAAAGAACTTGAGACCTATTGCATGCTGTCAATTATACCAACATTAGCACAGTAGAGTACATGAATGAGAGGTGAAATAAGAAAAAGTTCAGAAGAAATATTTTAAAAATTATGGTCTCCAATTTCCCAAACTTGATTAATTTCATAAATCTTCACTTAGAAAAAGCTCATAAAGCTTAAGAAGGATTAACATGAAGCAATCCCCTATTGAGAATGTCTTATCTATAGTCATCAGAAATATTGTCTGTAGTTTCCATTTCTTATGGTACCTTTTTCTTGTTTTGAATATGAGAATAATGCTGGTCACATAAAATTAGTTTAAAAGTGTTCTCTTCTCTTTAGTTATTTGGAAGAATGTGATAATAATTGGCCGTTCCTCTTTTCAAAAATGTTTGGTAAATTTCACCAGAGGAGTCATCTGGTTCTGGGATTTAATTCAGGGGAGATTTTTGATTACTGATTCAATCTCTTTACCCATTATTTGTCTATCCAGACTTTGTGTTTTTTCATGATTCAGTCTTGGTATGTTTTATGATTCTAGGAATTTATTCATTTCTTCTTGGTTACTCAGTCTTTAGGTATAAAATTGTTCATAATAGTCTCTTACAATCCTTTTTACTTTGGTGATATCAGTTATAATTTCACAACTTTCATTTAAAAAAATTTGAATCATTTCTCTCCTTTGCTTAATAAGTCTAGTTAAGCATTTGCCAATTTTATCTTTTCAAAAAAACTAACTCTTATGTTCACTGATTTTTCTATTGTTTTTATATTTTTTACTTTTTTTCTGCTCTCTTATTTATTATTTCCTTCTTCTAATTTTTATCTTAATTTGTTCTAGTTCTTTGAAGTGTACAGTTAGGTTGTTTATTTGAAATCTTTCTTCTTTTAATGTAGTCATTTATTGTCAGAAATTTCCTTCTTAGTAATGTTTTTGCTACATCCCATCAGCTTTGGTATGTTGTGTTTTTGTTTTCATTTGTCTCGACATATATTATTTTTATTATTTTATTTTTAATTGAAAAACAATAATTGTATATATTTAATGGGTACAAAATTATATTTCAACATATGTGTACACTGTGGAATGATCAAATCAGAATAATCAGCAAATCTATAAAATCAGAGATGAAAAAGAAGCTATTACAACTGATACTAAAGAAATGTAAAAGATGATAAGAAACTGCTGTAAACAATTGTATTTCAACAAATTGGAAAACCTAGAATAAATAGATACATTCCTGGACATAGAAAACCTAGTAAGGTTGAATTTTAAAAATATAATATCTAAAGAGAACAACAATGATTAATGAAATTGAATCAGTAATAAAGTCTCCAATCGGCCAGGCGCCGTGGTTCACGCCTGTAATCCCAGTACTTTGGGAGGCCGAGGCGGGTGGATCACGAGGTCAAGAGATCGAGACCATCCTGGACAACACGGTGAAACCCCGTCTCTACTAAAAATACAAAAAATCAGCTGGGCATGGTGGCGCATGTCTGTAATCCCAGCTACTCAGGAGGCTGAGGCAGGAGAATTGCCTGAACCCAGGAGGCGGAGGTTGCGGTGAGCCGAGATTGCGCCATTGCACTCCAGCCTGGGTAACAAGAGTGAAACTCGGTCTAAAAAAAAATAATAATAAATAACAAAAAATAAAAAAATAAAAAATAATAAAGTCTCCAATCAAAGAAAAGTGCAGGACCTCATGGCTTCACTGCTGAATTCTACCAAAAAAAAAAATTGTTTTTTTTTTATAATTGTTCACAAACTATAGAAAATAATTGAAAAGAATGGAACACTTCCACATTCATGCTCTGAGGTGATAATTACCCTAAAACCAAGACCAGACAAGGACTCAGAAAGAAAGAAAGCTACAGGCCAATATCCATGGTGAATGTAGATGCAAAAATATTCAACAAAATGCTAGCAATAAAAATTCAACAGCACATTAAAGAGATCATTCACCACGATCAAGTGGGATTTTTTTTCCAGGGATGCAGAAATAGTTTAACATATGCAAATCAACAAATGTGATACATCACATTAGCAAAAAAAGGATAAAAACACGATTATTTCAATAGATGCAGAAAAAGCATTCAACAAAATTCAACATCGCTTCATGATAAAAACCTCAACAAATCAGGAATAGAAGGACTATAGCTTCACATAACAAAGGCAACATACAATAAATCCACAGCCAGCATTGTATTGAATGAGAAAGAGTTGAAAGCTCTTCCTCTAAGATCTCAGACAAGATGAGAATGTGCCCACAAGAGGACTTGCTGGTGTTCCTGTTTAACAAGTATGTTTGCATTGGAATGTGAGAGAGAAAATGCAAGTGGAACAAGTGAATAAACCAAATGTCATTAGTAAGGTGTGACCTGTGACTTCCAAAAATTCTAATAATTCCCTTTAGCCTTCCACATTCAGGTGTTACATTTCTGAGAATGTTTTCTTTTTATTAAATAATTGACTTCTAAAGAGGTAAGAATATCACCTCATAAACAAATGTATTGTGGTGTTTCAAATGTAACTCATTGCATGAGGAAGGTCTGAGATCAGTGAAACAACATTTTTGTGTATGCAGCAATGTTAAAGTTCCAATCTTACAGAAATTTTTGCCTTCTCAACACTTTCTTGAATGCATTCTTGACTTCTCTTCCTCAGGCTATAAACCACAGGGTTCTACATGGGGATGATCACAGCATAGAACACGGATGCCATTTTGTCTGCATCCATGGAGTGGCTGGAGCTGGGCTGCAAATACGTGAAGATGACTGTCCCATAGAAGATGGAGACTGCAGTGAGGTGAGAGGCACAGGTAGACAACGCTTTTTGGTGTCCCTTAGCTGAATGCATCTTCAAGATGGTGATGAATATGAACAGGTAGGAGATCAAGATAACTAAAAGAGCAAAAAAGATATTAAAGCTTGACATAAAAACCAGAATCACCTCACTAATGTGTTTATCGGAGCAAGACAGAGCCATGACTGCTGGAACATCACAGAAAAAGTGATGTACCAGATTGGACTTACAGAAAGAGAGACTGACTATGTCCCCAATGTGGAATGAGGCATTTAGGAAGCCACAGACATAAGAGCCTAGGGCCAGACAAGCATATACACTGGCTGTCATGGTGGTGGTGTAGTATAGGGGTTTGCACACTGCTGCATAACGGTCATAGGCCATTGAGGCCAATAAGTAATTTTCCACAGTGGCCAAGGCTACAAAGAGGAACATCTGAACAGCACATGCATTGTAGGAGATGACCTTGTCTCCTGTAAGGAACTCAGCCATGACCTTGGGAGTGACAGCTGAGGAGTATCCAAAGTCCACCAGAGACAGGTTACTGAGAAAGAAGTACATGGGTGTGTGGAGACAAGACTCCAGCAGGATCAGCAGCATCATCCCCAGGTTCCCACACAGAGTGAGGAGGTAGATGAGGGTAAACAAGATAAAGAGGGGGACCTGTAGTTCTGGGGCATCGGTTAGTCCTAGAAGAATGAACTTTGTAACTTCTGTACAATTCTCCATAAGTATTATCTGGGAATTGCAAGATGTCCTATAGTAATGAGAAATAAAGGAATAGAGTGATAAACAAAAAAGAGATTTAGAAATGTATAAATACTATGTTCATTATGTAATTAGAGCAATGATTTGTACTTCAAAATTCTATTGATCTAAAGCATAGGTTTGACAACAATATTTAGTGCATTATCTACAGAGTTACAATCTGTTGAATCCAGGGGACCTTTATAAATAATATTCCAATATTGCCACTTTATAAATTTATAAACTGATATGTGGTATATTTAATTAATGATATGTACAAGATGACTCATCTGCAATTAATTTTTCTGCCAATTTAGTTTTTCCTAATCTAGTAAAACATATATATATATATATATATATATATATATATATATATATATTTATGTTGCTCACATACTGGGAACTGTTCTAGGCAATTTGTATATATATTTATTGATTCCCCTCAACAATATAATGCGGTTGATTAGTTATTACATTTATTTAAATTATGAGACTCACAAGATTAAGTCATTTATTTGTATGTACACAAGTATTATAGTCAAGCCTCTCTTTGGGCCCAGGAGAGTCATTCTCAAGTTCAATGATCTAAATTGAAACTAAAACAAATTGAATGTGAAGCAATTTACAATTACTTATTGTCTTTGTTGGTGCAAACTTAGGCAGGCTTCACAGTGAGGTAACACATTAAGGGTCTCAGGACAACTGGAGAAGTAGGTAAATGTACAACCAGAAAAGGCAATTCTGAGGGGAAGGCAGCATCAGATATAGAGCTTGGGATTGGGAAGTGGTGCATATCAGTCCTACCATTTACTACCTAGGCGGCATTGATCCCAAACTAACTTCCCCAAACCTGATTTATTTCATCTGCATAATGAAAATATCAACGAGACCTACCTCAAGGCATTATTTTGAAAATTCAATGAAATAATACACTTTAAAACAATGAACAAAGTGTTAAATGTTCAACACATTCTGATGAGAGCTAGCTATAATATTATTATTAGGATGGAACGATGATCTCTGTTAGTTTCATAAAGGAGGATGGCAGGGCTTTGTGTGTGGGTAAATTTTGAAGTCTTGTAGCCCCCTGTTCAATTTGTCTTTTCTCACAACTGGGGCTACTGAGATTTTCTGTGTCTTCCAATAATTCTCATTCTGACTTAATTGGCTTCTCTAGTGATTCCATGTGAACCATTCTTTTGTATAATTTCTTCCTTGAAACTTACATTTTAGCTTGGTT